GAAAAGAATGAGGTTCCAAGAGAGAAAAGTCAAGGAGAAATAGCTAAGCTTCAGGGTCAGGGAAAGCACCTTTGAGAAGGTGCCCTCTTAAGCTACAGTCTGTAGCGTGAGGAGCTGGCCATGTGAACCAGGAGAGGTGAGGAAGCGACGGCCCAGGGTGAGGGGACAGTGAATAAATGAAGGAAGAAATGAAGTGCCACCCATTTGGAAAAGAAGCAGATTGCAGCCCAAGCTCGGGACGCCCTTCCCCCTCTGCCTTTCTTGGAGCCGATCAAATAGTGAATTTATAGAGACACACGATGCAGTTCCCTCTGTGCAGACGTTGTCATAAAAGAGGATTTCAATTTGGTATTAGGAATTGAAAAACCTGGTGAGAAGACAGTGAGGCTGATCACAGACGATAGAAACAGAACAGCCGAGAAAGGGGAAAGCAAATACACTGAGCAGCATAGCCCAGTCACAACGGAATTCAGAGCCGTCTTTGAAGCACTCATCTTGTGTTTCCCAGCTCGCTTTTGGTAGGCAAAGGGGAGTGGGGGGGGGGGAACATTATAAGATGGAATTATATTAAACCAGATAACAGGAAATTGCAGGTATGATTGTCTCCAAGTCGCAATTTGATTTATCCATTTGCAGTTCTGGACCCTGACATCACACTTGGTCAGCACCTGACCAGGAGGGTCAAGGCCAAACGTCTTTCAGGCAGGGCAGTGGAGCACAGGGAGTCCTCTGCAGAAAGGCAGCGGACCTGGGTCCCTGTGTTCCCAGAAGGAGTTGACACTGGGCTTGGAGAGAAGGCCCAGACCAGGACAAGGGGCATCGAGGGGACAGAAACCAGCCATCAGCCCCCTCTGCCTCCCTGGAAGGAGTGCCCCGAACTCAAACCACCCTCCTCTGTTCTCCCCCTCCACCCAACCCTGGCTCAGTGGTCTCCATATCCCCTTCTCCAATGCCTTGGACGTCTTTACCAAATACCCCCTTAAACCTGACTCCTCCTTGAGGGCACCATGACCCAGTAACTCTTGTCCCGAGACCCCATGAACCTCCATTTGAGAGGTGGGCTCATGGGCTCACTCTCCAGTGCTACTCCACCTCTGTGCAAACCCCTTCTCCTTCGACCTCATGCTGTCTCCACCTCTGCCGCTTTCTATCCCTCCTCGTCCATGTCATCAACCTCTCCCTCTCTCCTCCAAGCCTTGCCATCACCTTGCCTCCCCGTTTCCTGACGTGCTCTCTTGCTTTCAGGGCACCCCACTCTGGCTGCAGCCAGACCTTGTTCTCCAGCACCTCTGACGCCTTAACTTCACCCGTCTGCTTTACGACCCTTTGTCCCTTCGGCTCTTACACTCATTACTCCCCCTGCCCTTGACCTCTTGATTCTCCATCCTCTCCTGCTCGCCTCACTTCTTTCCTCCTTTAGCCTAAGCTCCTTGGAGAACTCTCCAGCCATTCTCTTCACAACAGCCTTAAATCCTTGCCCCATTGGCCTTCCATTTCTCTAAAGCCAGCCTCACCCCTCAGTCAGTCCTGCTGCCCTTTTCCACTCCCACATGCACCAAGTTACCGGGGGCTTCAGGGATGAGTCACACAGCCCTGCTCGTGGTACCCCTGTAAATGAGCCACCTCCGCCCTCCGTGGGCCCCAGAGATGCATAGCAATTCATCCAGCCATGATTTCCCCTTCTGCAGAGGATTGTTTCAGATGTTCCTGTCCATGTTAAATCCTTTTCCTCCCGGCTGGTCCATCACCTTCAACAAAGACCATGACGTCCTCCTCCACGTAGAAAATGGAGCCTGTGTCAGCACAGGATCTCCTGCAGCCTCCCGCGATCCCACCTGAAAGCTCGCTGTAATCACCTCTTCCCTGTTCCCTGCTAGAGGCCCCTCAGGCCAGCCCCCCAGCGTGCTCTGGGTCCCATGGCTCCTGCCTTCTCCGGAGCCTCGTGCTGTCATTCCCCATTTCTCCTCCATGTCTTCAGTTAACAATATCTCTCGTTCTCTCTATTTCTATCTATCTGTCTCTATCTCTATTTCTATCTCTACCTCTTCGTCCTTAGCATTTAAGATGGTTTCTCCCATCGTAAAAATATTTTTAAACTGCCCCCCTCATGGCCATACTCTTCATGGGTTACCACCTAACTTCTCTCTGTTCTCACAAATGGCATGACGTCCTTCCTGTTAATTCTGAATAATATTTTATTGTATACACACACACACACACACACACACACGCACGCACTACTCTTTCTTCGTGCATTCATCCATCCACAGACACTTAGGTCGTTTCCATGTCTTGGCTATTGTAAATCAATCTCACTTATCTTTTTACCAGCTCATTCCTGCACAGCCTCCAGGCCTCAGATTAGACATCACCTCCTCTAAGAAGCCTTCCCTAATGTCAGGGCTATGAGTAGGATTAGGTGAGAAAGGGACTCACCTTGGGTGTAAAATTTAAGGGAAGTAGAGAAGGCCAAAAATCTCAATAATTAAAATAAATAATATTTCAATGCAATATTTTTTAAAAACCAAAGTGAACGCAAAATATCTGTGATAACAAATGTCAACATTTTAAATGACAGCAGTCTCTGATGGCCAGGACTAGGGTCAGGCAGATGAGGTGAGTCGTGCAAGCGCTGGTTGGTCCTGGTCTTTATTAAGTTTTGATATTTTTTTATGCTGGATTTGATTTCTATGCATTAATTTTGATTTTCTAAAAATATTGCACTAAGATACTGTCTCAATCGCAGGGTTTTTTATGCCCCCTAAAATTTTGTGCCCAAGGTTAGTGCCTCACCCCTTGCACCCTGTTCCCAGCCCCACCTTCCAAGTTTGAGTTAGGTGCCCTTTCTGGGCACTTCCACAGCACGAATCACCCTGTGTCATAAATATCTGTCTCCTTGTCTGTGTCATGACTAGACTGTCCTGTCCCTGAGAGCAGAGCCCATACCCAGATCTCAAGTGTCCAGCACAGGGACTGGCACACAGCAGTTCTTTAGGTCACACTGACAGCAGAAGCAATTGGGCGGGTGTGTGCCTGTGGGAAGGGCTGTGCCTACACAGTGAGGAGCACTGGCTAGATTCCTTCCTCCCTCGAAGGGCACTGGTTCTCTTGAGCTGATCACACCCTCAGATTAGCTGCTGAGGGCAGGGACATCAGAAGGTGTATCCCACATTTATATCTTCTACAACATGGTGGGGCTCCCTAGGAAACATCAAATCTGGGTCCTGTCCTGAGCAGTAGGATCCAGCTCTGTCTTTAAACACTGGGTAACTGTCACCAGGTCTCAGAATGCCTGCAGGGATGGTCTTTGCCAGGGCCTCACACCCCAGAGAGAGCACGTTTGGGGATCCCTGGAAGGAGGGGGGCCTTGCTGCTTGCGTCTCCAGGTTCACTTGTCGCAGGGGCCCCTTCTTCCTTCCCTTTAGATCCCCTGGAGCTCTGGGACCTGGACCAAAGGGCCACCTTCCCAGGAACCCTTCAGTGCATACCCTCCCCCGGCCCTGGCAGGAGGAAAGCCAGCTTCGGAGGCGGGTTCAGGTGTGCTCTCAGCAGGTGTGTGTGTAGAGGGTGAGGCCAAGGGGATGAGAAGTGGGTGAGCTGATCTGTACTTGAGTCCTTAGACCTGGCACGTGGCATGGTCACACAGATCCCCTCCGTTCCCCCCACACCCAAGGACCCTAGATGTTTGGTTTAGATCACACACACACACACAATCCCAGCTATAGCATGTGTGGTCTACCAGCTCTCAGCAGAGGGTTGGAGGCCTCGGTTTGGAGGTAATGTGAATGTGACAGTCACGTATCTGTCTATAAGGCAGTACGTGGGGCTAGCCTGATCGGCTCACGGAAGCCCAACAGCTGTGGTAAGAAAGCTTTTGCAGAATTATTCCTGTTAGGCCACACGTGGCAACTTCAGAGACTACGGCTCCTGACAAGTGTCTACAAAAAAACCAGGGTCCCTTTGCCTGACAAGCCTGGGAAAGTGTCCAAAAAATGTCCCATTATTCCAGCCTGCTCTCTCCCAAATCATAGGACTCTTACAGTCCTCACCTCGCCATCTGTCACTTCATTCATTATTCCCTGTCTTCCCCACAGGGTGCCTCCCTCCCTGGGAACAGAGCCCCTCCTCCTCCCCTTCCTCTCCCTCCCCTCCCATCCCTCCCATCTCCTCCACCCTCATCTCTCATAGCACCAAACACAAGGCTGGTGGAAGTGGGGATGACTGGAGGAAACTCGGGGCTCAGCCAGGACAGACTCCTTTCCAGAAGTGTCTGGGTCCGGACTGACTCTCCCGTGGGATAGCCCATTCCTCATGCCCCCCTAAGCCCAGGCCCCAGAGCTGTCTCAGGGAACCCACTCTGTGTCTGATTCGCCACCGTTGAATCAAATGAACTTAAAAGCTGACCTAATGAATCATTTGTTTCATTTTACCTGCTACCATCGCAAATTGAATTTAAAAAAAAAAAACCAAATACCTTCGTGAAAGTGTTTCCATATCAGCAAGCAGCGAATATTGATTCTCCCTTAACCTCTGGTTTGGGGAAAGGCAGGCAGCAAAGCCTCGGCCGCCTTCTGGTCTTGTGCTCGCCTTTGCTGCTCTGAAATGGGTTGCGCCTAAGATCTATCGAGTGGCGTTAGTAATGTGAATGCACAGTCAAGTTCAGTAAAGAAGTCCCTCAAATTTTGGGACTCATTAGTGGGTGGGACAGGTATCCCACAAAGAATGCAGACCCACCTTCCCAGAATGAGAATGTCCAAGTGCCTAGAACACCCATGGGCACACAGAGCCTCAGACATTTGATAGCTGGAAGGCCCATTTCGCCTAGGATGCTGTGTTTCAACGGGACATTTCAGGATTTCTCATTTGAGGTCCTACCTGCGTCACTCTGAGCACTGACTCTTCATGGCAGAGGAGCTGCAGAGCATGTCACCTGGACGTCCAGCTCCACGAGAGGAATAAGTCACCTTTTGTGTCTGTGTTCTCGTCTTCCTGTCTTTCAGAGATCGAGCAGGGCAGCTGCGGGGATCCCGGCGTACCCGCCTATGGCCGCAGGGAAGGCTCCCGCTTTCGCCACGGTGATACACTCAAGTTTGAGTGCCAGCCTGCCTTTGAGCTGGTGGGGCAGAAGGCAATCACGTGCCAAAAGAATAACCAGTGGTCGGCTAAGAAGCCAGGCTGTGTGTGTAAGTGAGCGGGAGGGAGGCCACTTTGGGGTGTCCACCGAGAGGCAGGGGGCCCATTTCCTAGCTAACCCAGGGGCCCCGTCCTTGGGAACCTTGCAGATCATAACAACAGCTTCACCCTGGTTGGTTTCTTCTATTCTTCACAACGTTGCTGGTTGGTCCTCGTTGCGGGCAGTAATGTAGACTAGCACTGAGAGTGATTGCTCTTGACATTCGGGAACCTTCTTCAAAGCCGTCTTACCCTCCCTGGTGATGCCAGAGAGCAAGGTAGAGGCCCCTGGGGCTTGGTGCACCAAGCTGCGATCCAGACATTCCCTCCTCACCCCTGTTGCCGCCAGTGACTCCAGCTAGTGAAGCCAAAGTGGAGAGGGTTGGCAAGTTTGTAAGGTTGTAGACTGTACCCGCCTCTGGGTGCTGGGGGAAACCGTGGCCTTGCTTACGCAGGGATGAAGATTGAGCTGTCTTTGGATTGTTGGTCTTTGGGGGAAGGGTTGGAGTTGAGTGCTGTGTTCTACAGAGGTACCTTCCTTCCTCGTAGGTGGTATGGCCATTCTTTTGGTGCAAATAATACTTGAAGTCCAGTGGGTTTGGCAAGTGTGAGGGGGCTGTGTGTAGCTAAGGGTGGAGCAGGCTTGCTCTCTGTGGAGAAATCAAAGGTTCCAGCTTCTCTGGGCTGTCACCTTCCTTCTCCCAACCCTCGCCACCCAACCTTCTCAGTGTCTTTCAATCTGCTTCTCTGAGGGAAGAGCAGACAGCCTGACTCTCTGCCCCTGTCTCCCACATCGACGGGCTTCTCGGGGCCTCTGAGTGCCGAATACTAGAGAATGGTGGCCCCTTGGGGCTGGGGGAGGGAATAACCTGGGAGATTATAAAGGAACATCAGTGTTGACTGAGAGTTTGGTGTATGAGTTGGTGAGTTGGGTCACATCACAGTGATTATACTTTTCAAACAAAAAAAAATCACTTTGTTTGGTTTGACAAAGCATTTTTGATGACTTGTGAGTTTATGTAAAAATTCTTGCAGAGGTTTAAAGATCAAATCGTTCTTAGATACACATTAAACAAATCACCCTTATTGAAAATAATACACTTCATGAAATCTACCCATCTCTGTGGCCTGACGCAGCTAGAATGCTATGCCTGAGAGTGTTTGCCTTGTAGCACTCTGGGCTCCAAGGGGACCTGGAGGGGCAGAGAAGTGAGCAGGGAGCAGCTCAGAGAACGCAGGAACAAAGGGTCCAAGCCCAGGCGGGAGCGGGTAGATGGAGTGGAGCTCTGCAGGGCAGGTTGGAGGCGGGGCCTCAGAAGGTAACGGTACAGGCTGTGAGCGCCTCAGGTACCTCAGGGGGCATCATCTCTGAAATCCATCTACATAAAACGAAGCAGGGAGAACTGGAAAGGGTTGGGCCTCTGGGGCAGAGAGCTGGTAGGAATGAAGTAGGTATGAACCATCAGCTATTTCGGAGCAGGATAAAGTCCCCCGCCCCACACACAAAATGCCACCCTGGGGGGCTGTCACTCAAGTCCTCCCAGAATTTGCCTGACCCTTTGGCTCTTAGGCGTAGTTAAAGGAGACCTTTCTAGAACCTTCAGTAAGGGCAGAAGACCATGAAGTGCTGCTGGCAGCCTCCAGTGAGCTGGGCACTGCTAGCCACCAGCTGAGAAGAAGAGAACAGGGCAGTCCTGGCACATATCAAGCGATGCTCTCTGTGGTTTAAAATAAGGAAGAGGAGTGTGGGGCTTACTGATGAGGTCTGGGAAGCCGGTCCTCGGGTTGGCGGGTAGCGGCATGGCATTTCTTCTTCTGGATGATTCTGGGATACAGAGGGGTGGTGTCCCCAAGGCATTCCCATCACTCAGGTTTTCTGGTCATTTGGATGTAACAGAGCCCAGCTTAAGTCTCAGGGATGCTGGCTTCGGTGGAGGAGGCCAGAGAGCACCAGCTGGCCCATGCCTTTGCACCACACAGCAAGGTTGCATTTGTATTCTGTGAAGGTGAGGGAACGCCATCTGTCAGCTCTCTACTGAGTACCCAGCTTCAGCTGATGCTCTAGGCTTTGCCCTCAGGGAGCGCACAGTCTAATGGGTGGTGAAAAGTGGCGATAAGAAAGTCTTGGTGCACTGCGGTAACTTTGGAGACGTGTTTCTCTGTCCTAGGTCAGGTTCACGACTGTGGCCAGCACATCTTCTCTCTGGATTTTGGTTTACTAATCCACCCAAGAGGGGAGCACTCCAACCTGGCTCCAAAAATCCTAAGCCTCTACGATCACATTTACAGAAGAGATAACTATGACTTGAACGGTTCTCACATTTTCCACAATATAAATGCTTGGAAACCCCTTCCCAAAGTGGATCATTGACACAGCAGGCCACACTTTGATTGAGGGATAATGTTCAATGTTGGTGGTCTGCTCCTGACCCCAGCTCAAGTATTGGGGTGTCGGAAAAGTCATGACGCATTTTTGCAAAGTGAAAACATAGAAAAAATACGTCATGACTTTTCTGACAACCCAGTATATCATAGTGCGTGGTCGACGGAAAAGGGACAACACCTGTAAGCATCTGTAAAAATACAAACTAGCTCAGCCAGCCTCTATGTTTTATCAAGCGGTCATATGTAAATACAAGACCACACCTAGCAAAAGTCAGCTTAAGTGTCCTCAATTTTACCACACATTATTGTGACATTAGTCACAATAAATATTAATGCGATACTTATCAAACAATACCGTTCTTTTCTTCTGAGAATCAAGAAGGGAGTTGGGGACATATTTTGATGGCTCAAATTCCTTTGAACAGTTGTCCAAAAAAGTGCAAAGCAGCGCACTGTTCTTCTCTTGAAACATTTTCTTCAAAACAACTCCTTACCAGGGAATTGCCCGCTGAGGCTACACAAATACACTCTTCATGTTTCAAAACATTTCCTGTAGCCAGCAGAGACTTCAGAATAATTTGGCTGGCTTTTGAGCTGCCCTCATAGTAGTAGACGCTCCACAGACGGCCTTTGTTCATCTAAGTTTTAAAGAAGATGGTGTTTCGCACAGCAAAAAGCATTTTTGAAAGAAAAGGTGGAGCCAGATTCTTTCCTCTTACTCTCTCTCTTGCTCCTTGGTTAATTCATGTCTCCAGGGATCACTGCTCACAATCAGTTGGAAGTAGGACCACTTTCCGTCTATTCAACAGTATTTACTGAGTGTCTACCCTGTGCCAAGCGCCCTGCACTGGATTCACAGCTGTTGAGTCTCTGCCTAGGAAATGTGCTTGGCTTGGTGTCCTGGGGAGAAATCTCTGGCCAGGTGGCACATATTCTTCACCTTCCCAGAAGCTCTGACATTTCACCCCCTTCCTGCAAAAGAATAGAGAGCCTTTCCCCGTATAACCATGTCCAGCGATTTCCCCACAACAAGAGATGCAATGAGGAAGATACAAATAACTCTGTGCAATACTTGATGCTTTGTTGACAGGCTAGCAGAATGCTTCACACTTCATAAGGAAGCCAGGAAACCAATTATCAGTCCATTAACAGCCGCTTTCAAAGAGAAGTTTCAAAACTGCCTTCCCCAGAGCTATACCAAGCCGGAGCAAATGCAAGCTTGCCTTCGCCATTTTGTAAACCCATTTTGGAAGGTGTGACTCCTAATTGCTGGGTTCCTAATGTATAGGCAGATGTGTGAAATGTGACGGCAGGGCCTCCTGGGATGCATACAGAGAAAGTTACAAATCAGCAGCTGAGCCTTGAGAGACCAAGAGAGGCAGAAGCTGGTCCTTGGGCGCTCACAGAAAATGTCACATAGGATTCAGGGCTTGAGCTGGGCCTTGAAGAGCTGGGAGGTAGAGGAGGGCGTTCCACACAGGGATGCTGTGGGAAATGGTTCTCTGCTAGTATCTCCTGACCCCTCCCTCCCTCAGTTTCTCCCCAGCCCCTCCTTCTGGGCACACACACACACATTGCTGGACAAAGGAGTAGGTTGGGTCAGGGGGTCATCAGGATTCTCAACACTGCTGACATTTTGGACCAGGTCATTCTTTTTGTGGGGGGCAGTCTTGTGTCTTGTAGGATGTTTTAGCAGCATGCCTGCCCTCTACTCACTGAAAGGCAGTAACACACACACACACACACACACACACACACACACACACACACACTCACTCCTACTCCTCTGCCAGTTGTGACAACCAAAAATGTCACCAGACATTGCCAAATACCACCCCCCAAGAAAAAAAAAACAACACCCAAGATTGAGTGGTCTAGGATAATTGAGTCTTGTCAAATTCTAAATAAGAAGAAATGCGGTACTTGCATTTTAAGCGGAACTGAGACTAAACTGGAGGGCCTATGGGATTATGGCCGGGAGAAAGCATGGGGAAAGGGAGGATGCCGATATTTATTCATCGTTTTATGTCACAGGGAAGATGTAACTCTTCCCTGCAACTTTATGGAATATTTATTCTCTCATTTTACAGATGAAGACAAAGTTCAGGCAGACAAGGTAACTAGTTCAGAGGTTATAGAACCATTAAGTGATGGGCTGAAATTTAAACTGTTAATTGACAGAGCAGGCTCCTACTCCAAACCCTGCACTCTCTCCGTTGCACCGATTTCCAGAATCCAAGGGTTTGTCTGCAGCGGGAAGGACAAGGAAGCCTTAGGACAAAAATACTAGGCCAGAGTAGGGAAGCTAACTGTTGGCTGAATGACTCCCATGAAGTGACAGAGATTGGCAAGAGTTTAATTCATGAGGGCTAGATCCATGACCTTTGTCGGAACTGTACCAGTGTTATCTACCAACGTGCAGTATACCAGTGTTGGACCCTTTTCCTAGTCTTGACTTTTTCTCATTCCTTCTACTCATCTGCTTATCCATCCATCTTTGATTTATTGAGCATCTACTATGTACAAAGTTAACTGCATAAGCAGGTAGGACTCTTCCTAGTCAGAGTCTAAACCAGAGGGCCTCTGGGATGATTCTGCTCTGGTTGAACAGGTCGGGTTCATGGTG